TGACCAAGACTGTGAAATAATTGTTTAAGTGCAACTCTTTTTGCTCGTTTTTCACAGTTACTGAACAACCGTCTGATGACTAACCAAGTTCCTTTGATATCATAGTATAGGACTACACACCCATGAGTGTATATTCACCCACTATAAATGCATGATTAGCAAGTAGTTATTGAGTAACCATTATGTGCCTGCCATAAACGCGCCAGAAAAGTAGAGACTTAATTGCTCATGCCAAGGAGCTTAACGTGGGAGATAAAACTAATATATAAAGGGGCTGGCCCCGTGGCCGAGTGATTAAGTTCGCGCGCTCCGCTACAGGCGGCCCAGTGTTTTGTTGGTTCGAATCCTGGGCACAGACATGGCACTGCTCATCAGACCACGCTGAGGCAGCGTCCCACATGCCACAACTAGAAGAACCCGCAACGAAGAATACACAACTATGTACCGGGGGGCTTTGGGGAGAAAAAGGAAAAAATAAAATCTTAAAAAAAAAAAAAAAATGTAGGGTTTAAAAAAAAAAAAACTAATATATAAAATAATTACACCCCCATTTATCAGTCCCGCATGATAAAAGCTGGGCCAAGAATATCGTTCTTTGAGAAGACTGCTGAGATGAGGGAGCGACATGTCCCAGATGTAGGTGGGGTGAGCGCTGGAAGGCTCGTGGGGCAGCTGCTGAGTCAGGGACACCCCTAAAGAGAAGACCTTGGGTTGTGGGGTCGGGGGACCTCCCAGGAGGTAAATGAGCCCTCTAGGCAGCAGCCCTAAGGCCAACGGGAGTGTCCACAGTGCTCTAGCCCAGGAAGCTGCACTTTGAAAGGGAAGAGTTGCAATCCTGCTGGGCTTGGCACAAGGCGGTAGGGGGAACGGGAAGGAGCTGAGCTTACCAGCCCATGTGGGATGGAGGGGCCCACCCCAGTCCCCAGACTCTCTAGGCGAAAGGCCTCAGTTTCATTTTCTGCGAAAAGGAGGACTCTGCTTCCTTCACAGGGTAAGTTTAAAGATGTCAACAAGCAAACGTGTAGAAACTGCTCTGCAAATTTTAAACTGCTGTTCGAAAGAGAGCTGTGGTTGTCCCGGTGAGGATAATGCTGGACGTAGTTTTTATTTGCTATTGAGCACTTCTTTTAAGGGTAACAGCCCGTCGACCAGCTGTCATTCCAGGCCTGCAGGCCCAGGCCCACCCTACTCTGGGACCAGTCCTGACTTGCTGGAGGGGTTTGGGGCTCAGTAGTGGCTGATGTGAATGGACACATCACATGCCAAGTGGTTCCAGGGGCGTTATCTGCCTTATCTGTCTCCATCCTCCTTCAGAGATAAGCACTACAATGATTCTACTGAGCCAGAGAAGGCCAAATGACTTTCCTGAGGTCACACAGCTGCGAAGTGGCAGAACCCAGAGTCACCTCAGGCAGTCTTATCCCAGAACATTGTTGTGGACTTAGCCACTCTGTTGCCTTCGGAAACCTGCCTGCCGAGGGCCTTCCTTCATGACCCATGCCAGGAAGGGTCCGCCCTTCCCTCTTGTGTTCTCACCATCCAGATGTAAAAAATTCCTTTTGCTCTTTGATGGAACCAGTTTCTCTCTTGCCTCTTGGTCTTCGACAAGCTGTTCCTTCCTCTAGAATACCTTCCTTCCCATCTTTCTTTACTTGAACAACTTTCGCTTATTGTTAGGATCTCAGCTTAGACCACATGCTCCCTGGGAAAGCACTTCCTGAATCCTCTAAGTCTGAATTAGTGCCCCTACTCTGTGCTCCTATTGCACTTCCCCCACTGCAGAATTCATCACTCTGTATTGGAATTGCCTTTTGACATCTCTGTCTACCCATCTGGTAGCACCAGCACTGTGTATGCTTCCACAGGTGTCAGTCTTGCTCATTTGTGCATCCTGAGTGGTTGCAGTGTCTGGCACATAGGTGCTCCATACATACTTGTTGGAGAATGAATAAATGAATGCCTGCTCACTGCCACCTCCCTCACTCTTAGTCTACCCTGCCCTGTCTACACCTTGCACCTCTCACGGGATTCCTGTGTGCCCTTTTTGGTATGCACTCGCCTGGCAGTGGGGCCTTGCCTTGTACCTCCATGATGCTGACTAAGGGCCTAGAGCCCGCCTGATCCTGTTGTCTCATCCTCCAGAGCCATTTTTCACATGCTGGACTGGATGTTCTCCCGAGCCCACGTCCACCCCACCTGGTGAGCAGGTCTGGTTAGTCTAAGTCCCTCCTGGGACTCTTATTCCACTTCCGCCAACTGGGCCATGTCCTGCTGAGTCCTAACTGTGGCCCCATTCGCAGAGAAGGGTTTAATCCATACTTGAGCAAAATATGTTTAACAATCATAAAAGACCTCAAAGTAGACAAGGCTACCTTTCAGCCATTCCCTGAGGCCAGGAATGATGGTTTAAAATAAAATGATTCAAACATCCTGGACCTCAACTGATTACAACCTAGGACCAGAGTCTGGGGCTCCCTTGATATGCAAAGCATTAACTCTTTAGTTGCTGAATCCTGGGGTGGCCCAGGAGAAGAGACAGAGTCGCAAGGAGTGTGGCCTTAGGGAACCCAGGACAGCAGGTGTTTGCCAACTGGGACAGAAATATTTCAATATGTAAACAACTAATAATGCCACGTTGGTGTATTCTAGCTGTGTGCATTGTTTCTTCCACCAGTGACTTCCCTGAAGTGACCAGTGACCGCAGTCGTGGCAGGATTATGCAGAACTGGAGTGGGCTGAATGATTGGAAAGACAGCCTGTCTGCTGGTTACCTAAAATAACATCGTTGGTGGATATCAGCAAATCACACATGGTCGAGATGGGGAGACTGACAGTCAGCCCCTGGCAAGGTTTCCCTGTGACTTGGGGTTTGAGAGTCTCTGGAGGCTGTGGGAAGACAGAAGCAGATACTGACTCAGTTCCTGCCCAGAACAATAGTTGAGCGTATGTGTGTGCATAGGTGTCTGTGTGTATTTGGTGTCCAGATATGCACTGTATGTGTATATGTACATTTATGTGTGGTCTGTGTGTGTGTGCTGGGAGTAGTATAAGTGTGGAGGGTGGTGTGTATATTTCTGCCCTGTGTGCCACGACTGTGGTGTGTAGGTGTGGTTGTGTGTGTATTTGCCTCTGTGTGTGTGTGTGTTATGAAGGTGCTGAGGCAAACATTCTGCATGAGACTGAGAAGATGGTGACCAGGAGAGAAAAGAATGGAGGCGACTCTCTCTTAGCCAAGCCCTTGAAGTGCATTGGACATGTTCATCCCAGGGGGCCGAGTGAACAGGAGACTGACTGGGCCACCGAGCAACTGATAGCACCTAGCGATGGTCCCACTTGGTTGGGAAGGCTCCTCGCCTCTGCAGGGTAGGAAGAGAAGTATATTCCAAAGAAAATTTGACAGAAAGGAGAGAAAGGGCTCTCCGGCTTCCTTTGCAGTTTATGCACAGCTTTTAGTTTGTACAATTTTTTTTCAGTATAGCTCTGTGCCAAAAGAGCTGGCTCAGTTGAGCATGTGGAGGAAAATTCATGGCCTGAGTCAGTCCCAGGCCACATCAAACAAAGCAAGGCATTTTTGTCCTTCCTGGCAGGGACAGCAGCAGGGAGATTATAAAGGATTTTGGTCAAGGGAGTGTCGTAATGAACATCCTGTTCTAGGAGCCCCGAGGCTCTGGATGGATTGGAGGAGAGACAATGAACGCCTTGCCCTAAGTCACAGCCCTGTTGCTCTCTGGTTGAGTGTCGGCAGAGCCCCAGATGGATTTACTGGTCAGTGCAGGTCATTGGAAGGGTGGTCTCACTGCAGACTTCCTGGCTTCCTGTGCAGAGCTCTTTCCACCACCCCAGCTAACAGGATCTGTGGTCTCCTCTATCTCTGTGGTGCCTTCAGAATCTCGTGTTTCACCTGGGCCTGGAGAAGTGCTCTGTCTGACCAATATGTCACAGGCTCTTCAGACACCAGGTCTGAGGGTTTGGACAAGCCCTGCTCCTTGCAAGGGAGCTTGATGGGACTTGACATAAAAGCTGCTCACAACGACATTTTGAGTTTACTGAGCAGAAACTGAGATCCACTTGCAAAATTACTTTAAGGGCTGAATTGGATGGGCCTCATACTCCACTTTCAGAAAATCCTTTCATAAATGATTAACTAATGACACAAAATGAAAATGTTGCCAGTTGGCTGTTGACCACATGGTGCAAATTGCCTCTCCAGCTTGCAGGTCACCAGTGTCTCCATTAACATTTGGGACATGGATATCCTAAGTTTGACCTTGGAACATTTGAGGAAATAGCCTGATTTTTAAACGATATTTTTTATTGAGGTATAATCTATATAGAGAGAAATGCTCAGCTCTAACCTACAGAGTTTGATGAATTTTGACAAATTTACACGAGTGTAACCACCATCCCAATCAAGACAAAACATTTCCATCACCTAAAAAGTTCCCTTTTGCCCTTTTTCAGTCAATCCCAACTGTTCTGACTTCGATCATCATAGATTGTTTTTGACTTTTCTAGAGTGTCTGTTATGGACTGAATGTTTGTATCCCTTCGAAATTCATATATTGAAACCTTAACCCTCCAGTGTAATGGTGTTAGGAGGTAGGGCCTTTGGGAGGTGATTAGGCCATGAGGGTGGAGCCCTCATGAATGGGGTTAGTGTTCTTGTAAGAGGGATCCCAGAGAGAGCCCTTACCCCTTCTGCCAAGTGAGGCCACAGTGAGAAGATGGCCATTTATGAACCAGGAAGCGGGACCTCAACAGACACTGAATCTGCTGTCTCCTTGATCTTGGACTTCCCAGCCTCCAGAAATATAAGAACAAAATTCCTGTTGTTTATAAATCCTCCAGTCTATGGTATTCTGTTAGAGTAGCCCAAACTAGGACCGTGTCATATAAATGGAGTCATACAGGATATAGCCTTTTGTGTCTGGTTTCCTTCACTGAGCATAATATTTGTGAGATTCATCCATGTTGTTGTGTATATGGGTGGTCCCTTCCTTTCTATTGCTGAAGAGTTTTCCATTGTATGTATATTCCACAGTTTGTTTATCCATTCATCTGTTGAGGGACATTTGGGCTTTTCCAGTTTGTAGCAGTTAAGGATAAAGCTGCTTTGAACGTTTATGTACCAGTCTTTGTGTGAGGTAGGTAGAAACTACATATGTCTAGGGTAAAAACACCTAGGAGTAGAATTCCTGGGTCGTAAGATAGGTGTATGTCTAACTTTATAAGAAACTTGTGGCTTGTTTTTTGTGTCACCTTCCTGAAAGGATGTTCAGAAGTCAGCGTGCAAAACCCACACCAAAACAACCTCCACAGGGAGAAGGTGGTAACAGAGGGTTGACAGCTTTTATTGCAAAAAACTGTTTTAACCAATTCCTGAATTAACCAACTCCTGAGTCGTTTTTATAATTGGTGCTAACTTTGGTCTGTACCCAAGAAAATGCTCATTCACATTAGTAACGGAAGCAGACTAAGCGGGGCAACAATACTGAAAAGCGCAGAAGGTTATTTACGCCAAAAGGTTGACCACACCTTTCGGAATTTTGCCTTAAGCTCAAGCAATTACAGTTTAGCAGGGTGTTTATTGAGAAAGTAAACTGTGGAAAGGTCACCCTTGGAAAAGCTAATCTGAGTCCCGAATTTTCACTGCTGTAGACTCTGTGTTATCTGGGAAAGATAAACAGGCTATTCTGTGACTCTAGGGCCTGGCTGTCTGGGCCTTCACCCTCTGTTAGATGTATCATCAAGCCGTATTGCACAAGAAAGCAGCATGAGAAAGCTTTTGTGTGTGGCAGACTAAACAGGGGCAAGGGGTCTGACCCTGGCTGGACCTGTGGGGAACTGGAGCAAAGGGGTCTGACCACAGTTATGTGGAGGACCCCAGAACCCCTTGGAAGTGCTGCTTCCCTTGGCAAGACCTCAGAGGAAACGGCTACCGGGTGGCTGGTGAGGCCAGGAACTAGGAATTATGGCCTAGAAAGCTCATGCGAGAGGCTGGACTGGCACAGCCTCCCCACCTGGAAAGTGGGGCCATCAGAAGTGGAAGCTAGAGCGGGGGCCTGCCGCCGTGGAACAGGAGCATCGGCAGGCTGCTGGCACGTCTCGGGGGACCAAAACCACTGACGCTGCATTTCCTGGCAGTGTTAGTTGTCCTCTCTCGTAGGATGAATCGTTGTCACCATTCCTCAGACTCTTCCTGTCTTAGAATTTTACACTCACACCCTTTGCCATGTGACTCTGCAGCCTCCCCATTAGCGTGAGTGGAGGAGACCTCCTGCCACTGGTGCTGGCATGGCCATGTGGCTTGTTTAGTCAGTGGGGTGTGGGCAGGAGTGAATCAAGAGGCCTCAGGAGGCATCGTGTGTCTCTGCCTAACTTTCTGTGGTTTGTTATGCAGGATTATCATAGCATTTGCTCACTGACATTTACACTAATAATGTTTCCTCCTGTTTCATAATAATTCAAATAGCAATTTTTAACTGGCTGTTTTTAATAAGACTGACTTTCCCAGCCTTCCTTGCAGCTAGGTGTGACCATGTAACTATTCTGGTCAATGAGAGGTTAGTAGAAATGTTGTGTGGCAGCATTTCTGAGACCTTTCTTAAAGGCCTGTGGCACACAATGTTCACCCCTTCCTGCATCCTGCTATCTGGAACAAAGATATGATGGCTGGAGCTCTGGCTGACATTTGGATCCTGAGAAAGAAGGCCATGTGCTAGGGAAGATGGAGCAGTGAGCTGCCGGGGCTCTTCTATGAGAGACAAATAAACTGTGTTCTTTAAGCCTCTTGATCTTTAAAATTCCCCTGCTGAGCTTACTCCAGACACAGTTCTCAAGCCAATTTTTATAAATCTGATAAATAACTGTGATTTTACTTAGAAGTAGACTAGTGTGCAGCAATGATCCACTGTTACTACTAATCGACTGTTTGGTACTAATCCAAATGGGAACAGCGCTTAACAGTTTAAAAATAAATCTCTCAGGAGGGAGAATGGGGAGCGACTGGTAACAGGTACGGGTTCTGTTGGGGGCAATAAAAATGTCCTAATATGAGATAGTGGTGGAGGTCGGACAACTCTGTGAGTATATGGAAAACAATAGCAGGGTGTACTTTTAGAGGGTGAATTTTACGGTATGTGAATTGTATCTCGATGAACTGTTAAAAAACTGATCACCTGTTCATTGTTTACACCGTTGTGAGGCGGGTGCAGTGTTTTCCCCTGCACCACAGCACAGGAAACTGAGGCTCAGGGAGCTTACGCGGCCCTCCCAGTTCACTCACCTTGTGAGTGTCAGAGACGAGAGGGGAACTCGGGTCTCCTGACACCAGTGCCTGTGCTTCCTCCACTCTCTCCAGCGTGTTTGCACCTCCGCCTCGGGGCCGCAGGAACCTGGACTCAGGGACTATTTAGACAACACTGAGTTGGAGGTAAAGCTTGTTTTCAGCTCTCCATTTTAGCACCTTCTCCTCTGGCACCCTCTTCCTTCTAGTCACCCTCTCTTATATGCCGAGTACCCTGGTTGTTCAGGGTCCCCGCCCACTCTGGTTTACAAGTATTCTTGCCAGGAAATATAAAAAGATATTTGACTGATATAAATCAACATATAACACAATCGCAAGTAGTTTTGCCCACGTTGCCAGCAACACTAACTCTCACGTGCCCTCCCCGACACTTAGGGTGGCTAGAGGTTTGGGACATCTTCCTTTTGGCCTCCATGATCTGGAGGACTTCCAGTTGACAGCAACACACATTTATGGGAGGTCTGCTATGAACCAGTGATTTTGATGGATGCTTAGATGCATTCTTCCTTCAGCTTCCCAACGATCCAGAGAATCTGTGCTTTGATGAGCCCATGTTACAGATAAGGAAACCACAGCTCAGAAAGCTTAGGTGACCTACCCAAGGTCCTGCAGATGGTGAGTGACCAAGTCAGACTTCGCACCCGGGTCTCCTAGTTCTGAGCCCCGCATTCTTTTCCTTATTTTGTACACGCGTTTGTTCCTTAGTATCCCCCATGGGGTCCACCACAGGTCTGGAGCAGAGGAGGAGTTCCAGAGGGGAATGAAAAAGAAATAAATGAAAGCCAACCTTTGCCAGCTTGCTCAAAGGCTTTTTTCCCTTAAGCATGATTTATAAATCAGCCCTCAACCCCAGCACATGCATGCACGAGAGCGAGACTCACTCTGGGGTTTTCATTTCCGAAAGGAGAAGACTACCAACTGCTCTGGATTGATGACACCGTTTGGGCGTAAAATGGGCAGAAGGAGGATGGTAGGAAGAAAAGCAGGAGAGATGTTGCTGCCTCTTCTCAGAGGTAACACGAGCTGCCTAAACCTCTGCTGAGGAGATAGAAGGCAAGCATCCTGGGAGAGGAACCCCTTGGGAGAGTTTGAAGGAGACTGAGTGTCAAGGAAACCCGCAAACTACAGCAGAAAGGCAAGGTTGGAAAAGGCACAGGCTGGAAAGATGCAGAAAGTCTCTCGCAAAACTAACCTATCATTTAATGCCATTTATATATCTTTCCTCTTTTCAGAATGGATTGTGGCTAGCTGGACACTGGGCCCTCCGCTGGCACTGTGGTCACTGCTGGCCCCAGTGCCACCAATGCCACAGGACACTGGATGCCATAGCCACCAACTCCACCAGAAGGAGTTCCGATTATGTTGTTCAGTCTGGATTTAGAAGTCTCAGGTGAGGATCTGACTGGCTGCACTCAGCTCCTCTGTCTGTGCTCCTGCTGCTGGAGGTCAAGGGGAGCTTTTTGCCTTCTCGGGGTCCAGAGTGGGACCCTCACATCAGGGCAGATTCCCCACAATCAGGTGGCAGGCTCAGATGCTGCACAATTATGACAAGAATATGTTTCCTGTGATTGAGACACTGATACCTACTTCTCAGGGTTGCTGGGAGCACTGAATGAGATCACTCATTTATTCCATCATCATGCATTGAGTTATCCACAGTATTCCCAGCCCTGTGCTAGGTGAGGGGTAGTGTCTATAAGTCCCGGCACATACTAAGCATTCAATAAATGATAACTGTCTTAAAAGAAGCTGTGAAATGGGAGAGGAGGGGGAGAGAATGACACTTAGGAGGGTTTCTCAGTTGAGCACTCAGTTGAGCTCTGATCTCTGAGCTTCCTGGAAGCCAAGGGGAAGAGTTCTAATGACAATAACCATAAATAGCTGATTTATTGGGTACTTTCTATGTACCAGGCCTGTACGAAACATTCAACATGCATTCTCTCAGTCTTACTCCTCATGACAACTCTATAAATTAGATATTATTATTGCTCTGATTTTATAGATTACGAAAAAAGGTTTAGCATGGCTAAGTAACTTGGTCAAGATCATCCAATTAGTCACTGGTCGTGCTGAGTTTTGACCTATATCTTTCTGATCCCAGACCCCAAACTATTAATCACTGCTCTATAATTCTCTCCAACACCAGACCTCTGGGATGAACTTCTGAGGGACTGCCAGCTTCCATGGCTATGGGCCAAGCCTTTGCAAAGCTCCTGAGGTCAAGTTGCTAAAGCTGCTATCTTTTCCACATTTTTGTTTGCTGGGATGGTTTGCGTTTTGTGCAACTGGTTTAAAATTTCCCTTTCTTATCTTCAGCTAGGAATAGTGGCAGAAGTAATTGAGAAGCAAGAAGTATGAGGATGGACGGGGAGGGAGCAAACCACTTACCCGGTCATGGACGATTTGCCAGGAGCTGGGCCTTTAATCATCAGTTTTCTATTAATTCCTGGAACCAGACCCTCCCTGGCACAATGGTGAGGGAGACAAGGTTGATTTTATGCTCAAAAATATTGGGACTGGAAGGGACCTTAGAATCATCTAGTCCAATTGTTTTCAAGTGTTTTGAAAGCAGTGAAATCCATGCTTTAAAGGAAATCTTCGCAAAAGCCCAAATTCTAAAAGGAAATCAAACAGGAGGCGCTCTGGTTAAAGTGAGGTTGGGGGCCCAGAGTAGTTTGAGAATCACTGAGTCCAAACCCTGTGACACAGGTGAGGGAACTGAGGTGTAAACATGACGCTGACTTGTCCAAGGTCACATAGCTGTTTAGTGGCAGAGCCAGCTCCCCAGTCCAACCCAGCCCCAGTGCAGCAGCCTCTCTGGGAGAGCAGGCTCCTTGGTTCCTTCCAGCTCAGCACCCCCTGCTCTTGGGACTCCTCCTCCAGCCTCACGCAGGTAAAACAGAGTGAGGTGTTTCCCTCAAAATCCTAGAAGACGTTGGAACACAAGCAGTACATCTCTGAGATGGCCCGCCCTCCCGCCCTCCCCAGAGTGAAACAGGGCAGGGAGAAATATCCCCTCCCACTGCAGGCAGCTAAGCCTCATTGGCACCCTGTCAGCTCCGCTTCAGCAGGACGTGGTGGAATTAGTATAGGTGGGGTGGCCTGAGGAGGCATATCCAGTGGAAACAGCAGTGGTGTCTGTGTGGTCAGGGTCTCAACAGGATGCAAATGGCATCTCAAACTGGGTATCTGAGGAGAGTCTGAAGAAGGACCATTTACAAAGGTGTGGGCAGTGTTAAGGGAAACCTACAAGGGGCGATAAAGCATCACAGGGCTAGCAACAGCCCTTACCTCTCCCAGATCTGAGGGGACAAGAGAGGGAGTGGTTAGAATATGGGTCTCCTGGGAGGAGCTGCAGCCTTTCGTGGCAGAATTGGCCAACTCACTGGAGGGAGGGAGGAGGGAATAAATACTCTGACCTCGCACTCCTCCAGCCTCTGCCTCCAGTTCCTTCCACCGGCTGGACCTGACCAGAAGCCAGGGCAAAGTAGCCTGGATGATGTAATTCATAAAGGTCAGCATTGCAGGACACGGAGCGTGGCTAAGGAGGACATCTGGAGGGGCAAGGAGAATATATCCAATTCAGTGTGATCCAGTAGGAGAAGCAGTGTCCAGCAGACCTGGGCAAGAGCTGACTATGCTTGTTTATAAGCACACATGAGCTACCCTGGGCACTCTCAGAAATTCTAATGGGGGCACAGGCACTTTGCAGGGGCAGATGTAGGGAAGAACTTGAGAAATAAGGTCATGAATGTGACCTCATTTGTCCCTGGGAGGCCTGGGGAAACTCACAGACTCCATTACTGAAGCCCAGCTGCTCTGAGGTTGGCGGTGGAGGGAGAATGCCCTGGTTGCAAGGACAGGCGAGGTCCGGGAAGATTCACGTTGCCCTTAGAGACCTCCTTACCTCCAGCACTCTTGCTACCATGGCAACCTCAGGAGAGTGTGGTTTCCTCCTTGCCTTTCATATTTGCAACAGTGCAATGCAATTCTGATACTAACTACCCAGAGTTAGCACAGACTCCACAGGTAAGGGCACAGTCTCCAACAAGACTGCCCTTGCTTCACACGCCCGGCACAAGTTCAGAGGTCTCCAGGCTACCCACACTTCTGACCAACTGGCTACAAACTCGGGTGTTCCCACAACCCCTCCCCACCAGGTTGATAATTCACTAGAATGATTCACAGAACTCTGGAAAGTGCTATACTTACAATTTCAGTTTTATTATAAAGGATACAAACCAGGACCAATCAGGACCAATCAGGAAAAGTCTGGAAGGGTCCCAAACTTGGAACTTCTGTGTCCTCTCCACATGGAACCCAGGGCGCACTCGACCCTCTCAGCGCATCAATGTGTTCACCTGCCAGGAAGTTCACCCAAGCCTCAGTGTCCAGAGTTTTTCTTGGGGTTTCATTACATAAGCATGGTTAACTGAATCCCTGGCCATGTGATTGAACTCAGTCTTTCTCAGTTGAACCCACCCCTCTGGACTGATATCACATGGCTCAAAGCCCCAACTCTCTAAGCACATGGTTGATCTTTCTGACATTGCCAGCCCCCATCCTGAATCTATCTAGGACCCACCAGGAGTCACCTCAGTAGCATAAACTCAAGTGTGTTCCTGGGGGCCCACTGTGAATAACAAATCCCAAGAGTTTAGAAGCTTCATCCCAGGAATCCAGGACAAAGACCAGATAAATTATTATACAACAATATCCCATAGCATGGCTGTCACAAGGCTGAAACATTTAAGCTGGATCTGACTAAAGGCTAACACTGTGATGGCTAGAGTTTCCCTTGGATCCCAACCTGCTGTGATCTTAGTGACAGCCTAGTGTGCTGTGTGGAGGATTCTGAAGCCACTTCCAGGATTAATTGGAAGGAGGGACATGATCAACTAGTCATGACAGCCCTGGAATAGAAGGGCATTGGAAGGGGAGAGTGAGAGTGTGCATGTGGGGTACTTGCTAACGCTGGGCTAAGGGATTAAAAAAAAAAAAAGGAAAAATCATTTGCTGTTTGCTAACGAAGACTTGCTCATTAGAACATGTAAGACCCATCCCACTTCAGCTCCTGTCCTAATGCCATGTAGTGGGTGCCATGTTTAACCCTTACCACACAAGAGGTCATGTCTTTTTATTTCTTCTCAAAATCTAGACTCATGAAAGGGAGACTCAGAGAGAGATGAGCGTGCCTTGGCTGCCCCCTGAATTCTGGTTTTGAAACTAAGGAACCATGTCTACCCCATGACTGTCCTAGTGAATACAGGCATTTTTAGGGGATATCATGTCAACTCACATGTTGGGTTGATAGTCAACTGATATGAACCATTGGCTATACCAATTCTTAAAACATGGAAACACTTCATGCTGGTTGGTAAGTGATGGCTGCTCCCCACTCCTGGAGAGGCCTTCTGCTATTCTGGCTTTCCTGCCCCTCTCCTGGGACCAGGAGGGCTACAGACAGTGATTTTCAGAGCTCAGTGCAAAACGAAAATGCAGGACCGTTTGTTCAAAGTTTATTAAGAATTTCAAGATGGCCACAGCAGAGCATTCAGCCAAGCACATCCCTTGACCCCACCAATGCAGGAGGAGCACAGAGGGTGACCAAGAAATAAAGCTATTTTAAGACACTAACGTTGGAGGGTTGACTGTCACTGCATCATAACTTGGTGCATTCTGACTAATACGCACCAATGCCCTACAAGTTCTTACGTATTTTGACTGTCACCCTGCCCACGTGATGGTCTCCTTGACACCCAAACAAGACAACCAGAGTTGTTTTCTTGGAGCCTGGCTTGACTATTATCAGAAACTCTCAGAATTACACAAGGCACAACCATATTCCCAAACCCTATTTTTAACATACGAACTTTGCCAGTATAATGAAACCAACATTCAGATAAAATAGTAAAAGTGTGTTTTTATAAACTTGTTTTAATACGTTACCACAAAATAGAAGGACTTATGTTTTCATTGGATACTTTTCTTAAGGGAGTGCCAATTTCCTCTCACTGCTCCTGGATCTGACTGAGGCAGCTCAAGAAGGAGGAAGTCGGGGAGATCTGATCGGTGGTTACCAGGGAAAAGGGGGGGTGGGGGGAGGGTACGGAGGGGGAAGTGGTGTACCCACAACATGACTAACAAAAATGTACAACTGAAATCTCACAAGGTTGTAATCTATCATAACATTAATAAAAAATAAAAAATAAAAAAAAAAAGAAGGAGGAAGTCGGGGGAAACAGTGGGTTTAACTTTTATTGATTTGTGTAGTTAATCTCCTTCCTGACCGATTGGGTGAGCAGAAGAAAAGAACAAAGAAAGGAGGAATGCTGGCCTCCCAGCAAAGCTCCTCCACCCCCTTTCCAGCCCCTCCCTCTCCTGCTCTACCCCTCGGAGGAGGGGCGCTGAGGAGCGTTCCTCAGCATCAGCGTCAGTGTTTGGAGGGACTAAAGCGTTCAGGATTAAAAAATAAACACAGCCGGAGGTTCAAGGCAGGAAAAAGGGGAAGGGATGAACAAGCAGAACACAGGAATTTAGGGCAGTGAAACTATTCTGTACGGCACTCTAATAGTGGATACATGTCTGTATACGTTTGTCAAAACCTATAGAATGTACCACAAAGAGTGATCCCTAATGTAAACCATGGGCTTTAATTAATAATAATGTATTAATATTGGTTCACCAATTATAACTAACGTAACATTTATGCAAGATGTTAATAATAGGGGAAACTTGGCGGGGTGAGGGGTTATATGGGAACTCTGTGTATCGTCCACTCAATTTTTCTGTAAACCTAAAACTGCTCAAACAAAAATCAAGTCTATTAATTTCAAAAGAAGAATAATAAATGCTTATTAGAGAAAATGCTCTCCTTCTTGCTTCTTGCTGCTTGTTGTTACTCTTTCTCAGCCAGGCCTCTCCTAACCAAAGGAAAGATAAAGAAAGAGCGTATTTTGTTGTGAGCTCAGGAGAAAGGCTAAGAGAGACCACTTGACTCGCTGTGGCTTTGGACCCAAGGCCACTGTGTAACTGCCCAGGTGGTGCCCTGCTCAAGGGCACCACATCAAAGAGGGTAGTTCTCTTTATAGACTTTAGAGTTTTGTGTACGTATTACGCAGATTCCGAGAGGTGCCTTCTCCTGATTAGCTCCACAGCTGTCTAGGCCTGAAGCCTCCCCAAGGCTGGAAGGTCTCAAGGGGACCCGGCCTTGCCTACCTGGAGGCAGTTTGGAGTTTGGGGAAAAATAACCTCTCTACATTTACCACTCTTCAGAACCTTAAGGTGTGGCAGACCGTGGTGAGGCCTGCACATGGGAAGCCCAGAAATGGAAGTAAATGGAAAACTCTGAAGCCTTGTCACTCAGGTGCAGAGGAGGCGAGATGGCCCAGGGCTGGCCCAGCCACAAGTTCAGGGCTCAGAATGCACGTGTGGAGCTGAATAGTGCTGTTTCCTGAATGGCAGAATCAATATCACATATGACAGTACAAGTGGTTTGGGGATGCTGACATGGCTGGGCCTATAAAAGGCTGGGAGCCCTCAGCTCTCAGCTCCTCTGCTCGGGCTGCCAGGACGGCTAAATTTTGGGCCTGCCCACACGAGACACAAGGGTGATTTGCATCTGCCCATCTTTCACCATCTTTTTCGCAGCTTGTTTGCCGCTTTGAGAGCAAGCCCGAGTAAGGGTACTGAACCGACGCGGGCCCGTCCTTGAACCTAGACTTGAATCTTGGTGTGGCCTCGTGCAGGGGGCAGGTGTGGGGAGTTGGCCGTAGTGGTTAGATGGGTGGGGTAACTGTCTCCGTATATACAAACATCTGTTAACCCAGTAACCTGACTTACAGTGATGGTTTGTGGGAAAGAATTTTATGAGGCGACAACAGCAGTAACATTTTGGAGTCAGGAAAGCAAACAAATGAGGAATAACCGACTGAGCCGACTTTTGAGCCAGTCCCCAGGCTGACTGGGAGAAAACTAGAACAAATGTTTCACACCACAGACTCCTCAGAAAGAGGAAGCAGCGGCCCCAGGAACTTTCCACCCGGCAGGCAGGTGATGAGTGGTGAAGTGAGGACTGGGAGGAGCCCTGTCTGAGGGGTAGTTAATGCATGTAAACGTATGTTTACACATGTAGAGTTAGCACAGTCACGCGTCACTTAACCAGGGGACATGTTCTGAGAAATGCATCATTAGGTGATCTTGTCATTGTGCGAACCTCCTAGAGTGTACTTACGCAAACCTAGATGATATAGCCCACTACACGCCTAGGCTGTGTGGTAACTGATCTTATGGGACCACCATCTTTTTTTTTTTTAAAGGTTTTATTTGTTTCCTTTTTCTCCCCAAAACCCCCCGGTACATAGTTGCATATTCTTCGTTGTGGGTCCTTCTAATTGTGGCATGTGGGACGCTGCCTCAGCGTGGTTTGATGAGCAGTGCCCTGTCCGTGCCCAGGATTCGAACCAACGAAACACTGGGCCGCCTGCAGCGGGGCGTGCGAACTTAACCACTCGGCCATGGGGCCAGCCCCTGGGACCACCATCTTATATGCAGTCCATTTTTGACTGAAAAGTCCTAGTGTAACACATGGCTGTATATGTAATTACTTTGGACACACAGTAAGCAAGATTTGCACTTAGTAAGCAGTCTGTGAGTGCCTGCTGTTCCTATACTTTCTAGGCCTTCTCTGACTCCATTCCGCTGGGCGCCTGCCCCTTTGTCACCCCAGCAGAAGTCTGGAGTTTTACTCTCTGGAGAAGGTAACAGAGTGGATTTCTGGATTGACGGCCAAGAGACAGCGGAGTGTGGGGTGCAGAATGGAAAACAGAAGGATCAATTTCTAAATTCAGGGACTCCCAGCCCTTCTTGCTACTTGGGGTCCAGAACACACTGGCAGCCTGACCCCACTTTCTAGGCAGGAGCCTGGAAAATTCCTCTCTGGGGAGTCTGAACAGCCCAAAAGGAAAAACCTAAAGACAAATAGGTCCCTTGGTAAACAGCCCACCCAAATACTCTATAATATGATGGGGCTGCATCCACGCATGCTTGACTGATGAGGAGGTGCCACCTGCGGAGGGCCTGGGGCACTTTAAGAGGGAAATTAAAGACTTGTGGGTGGAAGGAACAGTATAACAGACACGCAGAGACAGGACAGGTTGAGGCATTTCAGGGAGGTGGCGAGTAGGGCACTGGGCCAGGGAGCAGGGCAGAGGTAAGGAAAAAGTAGGAGACGAGGTTAAGAAGACTGGCTGGCACCAAAGGGTACCTGACAAAGGCACTGGGGTGAGTGGCTGCAACAGGCTAAAATAAAGATTAATTTCCCCTTTCAGAGCCATGCACCCTGACCTGAGGCTGCAATAGCCATTGGAAATGGTGCGTCTGGCTCTGTGTCTGCTGGCTGCTGCCCTGGGGACCGGATGGAAGAAGGCCTCTAAGGCCAGGAAGTTAATTCAGTTGATAATAAGGAGCCTGATGAGAGTTTGGAAACAGGAGAGTGACGTATAGAATTGAGTTAGGCTGAAGGACGAATTAATTTATGAGCCAGACACTGAGAGAGAGGTGATGTGGGGCTATACCAAGGTTAACTGAGAAACTCTGAGATGAACCAGTGTCCATATTTACAGGATGAAGGGGAGATGGGAGACTAGAAAACAGAAATTGCTCAAAAAGGAATTGAGCCCTTTGGATGGGAAACAGGAACTCCGGTGGAATGCAGGAGGAAGGATTGAGCAAGAGAGAAGCAGCTGCCAACCTATCCGAATGAAAACAAACACCTTGAACACGACAGTGGACTTGAAATGTTACTAAACTTTTTGGCAGGTTTCTCCCCACTAACAAGCCCGACGCAGGAATACAAGAAAAGAATTATTTCCCTTCCCTACTGCTGTGGTGTTTTCAGCTGAAGACAGTCTCATGGAAGCATCGACTGTCCCAAGTGGCTGACGAATGCAGGAAGTTTGTGAAGTTGCGTTTCCCAGCAAATGTTTTGTCCTTGGAAAGTCTTTCCCCGCCTCAGCCTTCTGCATAAGGACTTCCCTGACATAG